TTATATATAAAAATAATATTATCAATGCTGACCCTCCCTGTTCCATTCATGGCTGTGCAGATCACCTTCTCTCCCACACACAGTCATATGACATGCTCGTGGTAACTACAGCTATTGCTTACACAGAAAAGTAGCATTAGGAAATAATACATGTATTTGTTTTAGGTGTTTTTACTTCAAGCTAGGAAATGGAAACAAAGAGGAGAGCCAGCAGCATGGAACTGGACTGTTTTCTGTGGATTACTTACCCAACCTTAGTGAAATACCTCAAGTTACACAATTTAATTGAACATAAAATAGCAAATTTCAGTTCTTATGGGTAAATATTCATTTTTAATGGCAGCTATTCAATGTCCTGTTATTTTGACAACAGCATAAAAATCATGCTATATTGGAATACTCCTCTCACCCTGCCCCTCTACAGATGCGAATGCTATGTCATTTTAACTCACAAGCGGGATGCTTTAAAGCAGGGGGTCACACATTATTTGTGTGGCTGTAAGATACCAAGCACATTCCTTGACTGAACTTTAGGGACAGAGGCTGCTAGGGGCAGGTGGAAGAGGTGACAGTGGTTGACTCCAACTCCGAGCCTAGGTAAGGGCCAGAGCCAGAGCCAGAGCTTGATCCGCAGCAGCTGCCTGCCCCTCTCTCTCCACTCCCACCTTGTACTCAAATCCAAGATGAGGGGCTTTTCTGTCCCCATGTTGAATACGGGGGGCGGGAGGGAGGGAACTTGTCTTGGATTTGAGTAAATACAGGAATTTATCATGTGAATTCACAATGTCTGTTTTAAAACACCAGGCCATCCAGTCGCATCTTGTGTGATGCGGTGAAGCTTCCAGCTCTGTCAACTTTCTCTTCAAATGTAGGTAAATTTGTGGAGGGGAGGGCATGAAATATAGGGTTTGGGCCACATGAATAGATTTTGTCAAAACCTCTATGTAAAAAAAAAAATTTCAATTTGTAATTTTATGTTGTACCACTTCCTCTTCATCACTGCTGACCATGGAAAAGAGTCCAGAAATCTTTTCAAGAACTAAAGTGTAATTCCAGAATTTTGGAAATACAAATTCTACAGATGCACTTATTGAAACCAAACTGAAAAGGGCTGGTCAGATCCTAGCTGACAAAAAATGGCAGAGAAGTCATCACAGCTATGACAATATATAACAGTTGAGAATGCGGTTGAATGTTTAAGTATTAACATGCAGTATCATTCTTTTTGTTGTTGTTGTAGAAAAAAAGCCACAAAGCAACAAAACGCGTTTGGAAAAACTAACCTAACTGATAAAGTAGCCATCTGTATTAAACATCTAGAGAACCAAACATAACCTTTTTTATGAATTTAATTAACTTTTGATCCAATTTTTCCTTGCATTTTATTGGGTGTACCAACACACCCCGCCACGCACATCCCAGCAAAAAGACTTCATCCCTCTCCCTTGCACCGAGTAACAGCAAAAAATGAACATGAAAAATAATATTAAAAAAACTCTGTATTCAGTAATATTCACACCAAAGTGTATGTATATATATCCATTAAAATTATGAACAATTCTAAATATATTTTATGTATCATACATATATTTATATGTATAATTACATATCCACAGATGTTGTCTTGCTGTGCTAAAGCCAGCACTTAAAGCAGAAACAGGTTTCACAATAGGACACCCATATAGGCATATGTACTGGCTGTTTGGTTTGTGAATTTATTTACAACTTAACTATATAATAATAAATGATTACTGCTCTATTGTACAAATGTAATAGTAAAGGTTCAGGTTTGTTTTTTTTAAATACAAAGACTGCAAATGAATACATGAAAAAAATTACACACCATGTACAGTATTTATAATTTATAAATGCAAAGTTAAGACCTCTTTAAATTATTGCACTTGCATATTTTTTTTTTACAAAGAAGATATTTTTGTGTCATATATATATATATATATATATTATATATATATAAAAATCAACATTTTCAGTTTACTAGATGTTGTAAGATTAAACGTTGTTACCTTGAAGTTCTTTCTTCTTCACAGAACCGCCCAACCTGAATTTTTAATATATATGAATCTACTCTACGAATCAGTTTGATCTACTCTACAAACCAGTTAACTACTCATTTTTTGATTTTTTTTTTTATAGAGCATACACCCGTATTACAATCGAGCACAGTTTTTGGTCAGCAAACAGAGAGAGAAAAAAAACCCAAACAAAATTGACAAGTGCCTTTGCTACAGTAGGATGTATTACCTAAAATCTGAACAGGACTATTCTTATAGCAATGTGTAGGAAGTCATTTCCTGACCTCAGAATAAGTATACTGTACCATTTCACAGAATGACAACTAGATCACAGTGTTTTTAGGCAAATGCATTTCTTCCAGAGGGTCATAACTGTTTCAGCAGCTAACAACTTTGTTTTTCTTACAATGTTAATACTAAGTGGACTGAACAAAGTGATAAGGAGACTGGTGGATAACACCAACTGTTCTACTTTTAAGTTTCAAACACAGCAAAATATCCTGTTACTACTGTGCCATATGCAAACGTATTATGCCACATGCCTCCTCATATCTATATTTTAGTATATATGCTTCACTAAACAAACCCATCATTTATTCTAATATAATGATTCTGAGAAACTACTATCTATTTAAAGTGTGATTGCACCATAGTGAATCATTACAGAAGAATATTAAACTCTCTAAAGAAAAGTTTAGTTTAATTACACAAGCAACTGAGTTTCCATCAAAGTTTTCACAGGATGTACAATATATCAGATAAACTAACATGTGTAATATCAGCCCGTGCAGTCCAGTGTTCAAGGACTGCATATGTTTTCCTCGCTCATCTTGTACATTTCAGATAGTATTTCAAGATGCATATTGCTGAATATGCATCCTTCCCATCTTAGTTTCTTATACTTTCATAAAAGAAACAATGTTTAAAGTACGGCTTCAAATAATCCCTTTTCTGTGGCTGGGTTTAGGAAGGAAGAGGTCATTAGAACTTTAACGAAAACAAAGCTGCTTTGTGAGCAAAAGTACATGTAGTAAAAACTTCTAGTAAGAAAGATTTTTAGATATTCTCATTCATTTTGTGCAATTACACTTTTGAGGGATAACAAAAGGTGTGTCAAATGTTCAACTTCTCTATTTAAGAAGGCAGGTCATAAATTTTGAGCAGCAAAACCCTCAGTGTGGACTACAGACAAACAATTCTAACTTCTCGGTTTTGGGATGTTCAGTTTTGAAGTTACTTCTACCAAAAACCTTAGGTACCTACTTCTGAACTCTCTAAATTACAGGAGAGATTGATTAATTTAAAAATTGGCTTATTATGACATTTGATGTTGTTGCTATTGCTTAAAAGATATGTAATCTTTGCAAGTTTTCACTCCTTTCCTATTATCTTTCACCACAAAAACATGGGAACTGCTTTGCAAGCTCCAATGAAACTTGTATAATGAGACTATATTCTAAGTGGTTCAGAAAAATCAGTGGAAAGTAGCATATGGAGGCTTCAGGCCAATAACTACTTTTTGTACATCCTAAATTTGTTAGGGGAAATATATTCTGTATCAGCATCAATACTATACATAAACATGTAAATATAGAGTGGTGATTTGTTAGGGAAGGCATTTTAAATGATAACAGCATGCTAACTAGTTTAGATTTGAGAATCAATGACTGGAAGTCAGACTAAGACTTTTTATACACCTAAGTTACACACCAGAAACAGTGTGTAACTTAAAATATTTTGCAACACTGATAAGGCCAGAAAACTGAGAAAAGTAGTAATAACAAATTCTCTTAAGCCAGATTTTCAGCTGAGTAGTTTTGGGGATTTGAATTCAAGCCAGACTATGCTTGAAATCACCATCAACTTGGAAAGCTCCCATGTAAACTACTAACTCTGGAGCACCTTCAAAGTCCTTTGTTTTGTAGTTCCAAATGCTTTTTGTTAAACCAGAACTGGTGAGAGAGAACTCAGAGGACGCACTGAGCATGACTTTCTTTGTTGTACTTTGATAAAACTGCACCCGTATATTTTATTTTCCTTTCTAAAAGCACTGACTGATAAGTTAGAGAGCATTTTTGCATTTGGTAATGTCTATGCACTAAAACTGTATGTATTTTTGGTGGCCTGTATGTTTTAAATCTCAACTTCCACAAAAAGACTTGCCATAGAAATCCCAAACCTAAACCCTCATCGTATATTTTAGGTACTGCAAAGGCATATATATTTGATTATGCTAATCTTCAGTATAGACATATAAACATATACTGACATGTGCTCGACCATAACAGAAGGCAAAACTCTTTAGAGACTCAGTCATTTAAATTTAAAAACAAATAAGGTGCATGCTTGTTAGATTAATACAGTACAATAAACCAACAGAATGGAGAAAGAGATCCCAGATAGTCTTTAAATCACCAATGAGAATATTAGTTGTGTTTATACTACAGTAATGTCATCACAGAACCATGACCAGATTGACATCACCTGGTAGCAGGTAAAAAGTTCTGTACTACACTGTAGTCAGGGTGATACAAACCAAAAAAATGCATTATTTCCCACTGATGGGGTGTAGTAAAGATAGCTAGGTCTAGGTTCAGCTTTTATTTTTAAGCCACCAAAGGATAAATGCCATGTATTACAACTTCACTAATATCCAAAGGAATGCACTGTCTTAAAAGCCTGATCCTGTAAACAGTTAGCCTTACATACTTAAAAGTGAAGAACATGCATATAGTTTGCAGGATCAGAGCCCTGAATCAGCACATACTGTTGTCCATGGTATATTTAGGTTCATGTTTTCCAAATCAGCTTAGTAGTTCTAAATCTGAACCTGAAAATGATAAATGGGGTAGGGGGAGGAAGGGGGAGGTAAAGGTTTCCTAAACTTTTTTTTTTAAATGGTAGTGAGAAACATATAATACTAGCATGCAACACAAAAGCTAATCAGTACAAAACACTTTTGATTTATAGTGGTGGTACCACAGCCACTTCTGGCAGACTTGGCTCTTCTGACAATGCTCTGGTTTCCAGAAGAAAATGTACCTTTGGAAATGTCTCTCTAATACCTTCTAACATACAACTCACCTTGTAAACTACCAGTCACCAAGAAAAAAACCAACAAGCACAGCCACTTGTCATACTAATAAATTAGGCAGGCAAAACTCCGCTGCTTTGTTTAAACTTAGGCCAAGTATTTCTGACAAAAAGGTCCAGTCTGAAATTATGCCTGCATCCATCTTGATTGGACTGGATCCAGTATTTCCATTGTTTAATGGAGAAACTCTCTGTCTTTGTAAGTCAAAGAGACTTTGTAAGTCATATATGTTATGGCTTTGTAAGCCATAACATATAGCTAGTTCTTCTAATATTAAACTTGCATGTGATAAAACCATTGCTCTGTGATGCCTAATAAGAGAATATTTGGAGCCTTTACCCTGGATTTTCTTTTTTTCTACAGCAAAGGAAAAAAAAGACTGTATCCTCAATAATAGTTACAGTCCCAAGGTTTTTGGCTAGAGTTCAAACTGATTACAAGTAGATCACACATAAACATTCACAATAGCAATGTGTAAAATGTTCTATGTATAGCCAAGAACTCCCAAGTGACACTGGTGTTAAAGCCAGCCACAGTACAGTATAATAAAAGTACCATTGAAACCCTTACTAGAAAGATACATTTTAAAAGTACCCCCTAAGATTTCCCCCCTTCAGTTTTAAATTAAGGCCTCAGGAACATAGCCCATTAGAAAAGGCCAGTCTCTTATATTCACAAGTCATAATCTTGCTCTGCTAGCCGATTCCAGAACAAGTGAGTTGTTAATCTTCTCTGTTCATAATGTGTCACCACTGCTGTAAGTCAGGAGACTGGCATACGGTCACCTAGTTGAGGTAACTCCTTGGGTATTACCTCCTAGGCAGGTTTGCTTCCTAGTTAGCATCTGCAGTTTTTTTTTTCCTTCAAATAAAAAACCCCACAACAAATAAAGAGATGCTTTTAGGGTGAAAGCACTCTGTCACTGATGTTTAGTCATCAATCTTCACAGGAAGTGAATCCGAGGTTTCAGGGGCAAGTGACTGGGAAGGAATCCATATAAAAGCTTCCTCTCCTCGTGTCACTTTCTCCCATTGATTGAGATTTTCCCTGGAGATGGGGAAGAAAGGAAAAAAATAAATAAATGTAATAATTTTTAAGACTTCCTTCTGTATTATACCTTCAGAAATAGTGTTACACAGTTTGTAAACACTGGTCCATACTGAATCTTGCATCAACAGTGAACTATTTCATCTTGTTTTTTTCAGGTGCCTTCAACCTAGATATGGTCGTGAATATTGGCCATGTGGTCTTGCTGATAGCCAGTACATGAAGCTACCAAATTTGCCGCAGAGTTTACCCTTTGCTTCTGGCCTGGACTACAGAAGTTGTTTCCATAAAAAAATAAAAATATTCCCATCCCTCACAGATAAAAATATGAACCAATGTACCAACACCTGCTGAAGTCTGTGAATAACTGAAAAGATAGCTCTTCAGAGATGTGACCTGTCCCATATCTAGACTTGGCAGGATTCAATTATTATTGATAAACACCAATAAACATCAATTTCACCTGACACTCAAAGATCGATGGAAAAATATTTCCATCAGTAATCACTGAAATTTACATAAAGGATACATAAAAATAATATGGGATGGAGGTAAGGAAATCCAGGACAGGGGGTGTGGTGCACGTGTGCATGCACACACACACGCAGAGCAGCCGCTGCAGGAGCTGGGGGCCATACAAGTAAGGTTATGCTGCAGGAGCTGGGGGCCCAGGAGCCCAGTACCACTGGCACCTAGCTTGTACTGTCCAGGTCCCAGCAAGGGCAAGGGCTGAACTCCTCCTGAGGCTGGATCAGGCTCTACCGGAGTTTGGCCCCTGCTCAGGCTAGGACCTGGACAGGCACTTGCCTCCCAGGCTGCTACCAGTCCTGCCCCTCCTACCCCGCTGCCCAGCGCAGCCTTACTGGCACAGCCCCCAGCTCCTGCATGTGTGCATGTGTGTGTGTCAAACTCCCGTGGGGCTCTGTGGTGCTGTTCTGAATTTCAGGGCGTACTGCTTTATTGATGAGGATAGATACTTTCTGCTTGTGTAAAGGTATGCTTTATCCATTTATGGATATTTATTTTTTATATTACTAAACTGTCTGCCCTAATTTTGCACAATCTGGAAAATTTAAATCAACACAAATCAAAATAAATGCTTAAAAATAAATATCAAATTTAGCTCTCGAAATAATAATAATAAAAAAATCAAATTCTACCAAGCCTCACTCAGGTCTCTATAGATTGATACAACAGCATAGTTTGGTGTTTTTTGAAGTTGTCAGAGAATTCTCAATTTTTTGCCATGGAGCTTGCTTCTTTGGAAACCACAACAAGCTACAGTTCCTCATAAAAATTTATGCTTTAGGGCAGTGTAACAATACAATTCTGCTGCCAGAATACTGCATGTTACCTTTCAGACACCTATGTTTTTGTATAAATCCATCTCCTTCAGAACGAAGACTGTTCAAACAACAGTCATGTTTATGTCTGAAATCCCCACCCCACCTTGAAGCATGGAGTATTCATTACTGTATCATGTGGGCCTATTCTTTTAAGTCATAAAAATGTCAAAGAGCAGAAGGTGAAAAAAATATAGAGCCAGATTCCCACCAGATGCAAACTGGCATCACTCTAGTGGCTTAAATGGGGCAGTGCTGATTTACAACAGTTGATGATCTGGCCTATGATGCGTACATATGACTAAAATCTGCCATTTGTATTTTAAATGGTATGCGAGAGAGAGAGAGACAGTCCTACTATTTCTGTTAATTCTGTCAAATCTAGCATTTAGTTACTCTTGCTCTCACACAGATATTAGCAGTAAATGAAGAGAATTACAAGCATACAAATGCACAATCTTATGCAAATCATATCAGATCTAAGTGTTGTAGCAAGGCTCTCATAACTTACGTGATAGAGCTTCACTGAAATACTTGGTAAAATGCAACTAAATCAACGAGATGTCCTAGTTCTAAGTTGGGAGTGCAGGGAACAGGTAGTAACAGCATTTGGGGGGAGTAGATGAAGCCTAGCAAAGACGGCTTGAGTCACCTAGAACTCATAAAAAACAGGGCTTCACACTTGCTAGGAGTGCCAGGATGAAAGCTGTGCTCTCTATCTTCTCCCTCCACTTTAAGCCTCTCCATGATGCTGCCTCAATCTCTGCCCATATAGTTCTAGTCCTACAGAAACTAAGTGATGGGCAGATGGGGTGAGAAGCTGAAAGTTGGCAGGAAAATTGAATATAACTGATATAAAACAATTTGGGTGGCATCTTGGCCACAGGTAAACGAAGGTATGTTCTACAGTCCTTTTTAGGATCAGAAAACCATGTTTTCTATGGACACAGTTCATCATATCTGAAAAACATAGGAGGTACCAGACAACCAATCAACGGTGGAAGAAGAGGCATGTGGTACAAATCTGGAAAGATACCAAGGGTTGTAGGAATAATAAAATAGAAGCCACCACTCCTAATTCACTTGCCATCTGTAAACAGGAAGCCTCCCAAAGGGGTCAAATCATCATTTGCTTAAATCAAACTGATAGAAAGCTATTAGAAAATTTTGTTTGAATTCGGACAAATCAATTCCTCCCCTTTAATCCCTCAAATAGGTATATTATACCAGATGTGACTGTTCTGGTGTGACTAACAGATATGCAGTCCAGAGCCCACTAGAGGAAGTGATTCCACACTAATGCATAAGTTGTGCCTCTGACCTGCACAGAACACACAAAAAAAAAGTCTTTAAACTCAGTAACAAACTAAATTTATTGTAGGCAAAAGGTTATGAACATACAAAAGGGGAATAAATCATTAGAAAAAAAATGACTTCTAGACCAGTGGTGGTCAACTTTTTTGGCCAGCAGACCAGATAGGCAGTGCCCAGTCAATCTGTGGGCTGGAGCTACTGTGTTCTCAATCTGACACCTGGGTGGTCACAGTATGACCCCATCCAGCTATGCAGAGCCTGGCCCCAACCTAGCCTCGTAGGAGGAAAGGGGGATTAAGGCAGCCTCAGCATGGCTCTGCAGAGGCGGAAGGGGAAAGGTGAAGGGGGCTTGACCCACTGCACAGGACTCAGGGTTTGGGATTTGGCAGCAGGGAAGGGGTGGCTGTATTAATTGCCACCACTCCCCTGCTGCCAAATTTCCAACCCATGGGAAGTCTCACAGTCCAGAGATCGGTCTGTGGGCCATATCTGGCCTGCAGGCTGGAGGTTCAGCACCCTTCTTCTAGTTGTAGGTACTACCCTACGTTGGAAACAGGACTGACTACACATTTTTAAAGGTGCAGAAGGTTTAATTCATTTGCTTGTCCACTCACCAGCAAAGTGTTTATAGATTCATAGATGTTAGGGTCAGAAGGGACCTCAATAGATCATCGAGTCCAACCTCCTGCATAGGCAGGAAAGAGGGCTGGGTCTAGATGACCCCAGCTAGATGCATATCCAACCGCCTCTTGAAGACCCCCAGGGTAGGGGAGAGCACCACCTCCCTTGGGAGCCC